TGATCGTCCATATAAATAGTTCCTGAGTTTTTGTAGTGCCCAAATTATGGCTAATAACTCTTTTTCGTTCGTGCTATATTTTTGTTCCGTCTCGCTTAGTGTTCTGGATATAAAACAAATGGGATTTCTACCTTGGGATAACACAGCTCCTATGGCAAAATTACTTGCGTCCGTGGTTAAATCAAAGGGTTTATTGAAATCGGGTTGAAAGAGTTCGACTTGTGCTTGTAATTCCTTTTTTAATATATTCATCGCTTTTATGGCTTCCTCATCTAATTTTATTTGCATTCTTTCACTTTGATTTTTCTTTACGAGACCGTTTTCTCCTCTTAAAAACAATGTTAGGGGTTTAGTAATCTTGGCGTAGTCTTTGATGAATTTTCTATAATATCCTGCTAGTCCTAAAAATGATCTTAATTCTTTCAGATTCATAGGCACCGGGTAATTTTTTATGGTCTCAATTTTTTGTGGGTCTACGGTTATTCTGTTATGTTTAATAATATGTCCTAAATATTCAGTGCTGTCTTTGAAAAAATGAGATTTTTCGTATGAAATCTTCATATTTGCTTGACGCAGTGCATTTATAACAATTCTTATGTGTTCCATATGTTCATCGTGTGAGGATGAATATATTAACACATCGTCTATATATACATGCACGAATTTTCCTATGTAATTCCTTAATATGTCATCTACGCATCTTTGAAATATTGAAGGTGCGTTCTTTAGTCCAAACGGCAGCCTTAAGAATTCATATTTTGCTCCGTTTATGCTAAAGGCTGTCTTTTCGGTGTCTGACTCCTTGATTTTTATCTGATGGAAACCTGCTTCCAAATCTAGGGTTGTAAAAACAGTTGCTTTACCTAAATTCTGTATTGTCATGTTGACATCGGGTATGGGATATCTATCGGTAATGGTTTCGCTATTCAATTTCTGGAAGTCTATGACCATTCTTCTCTTAGGGTTTCCTAACTCGTCAGTTCCTTTCTTTGGTACTGTCCATACGGGTGAGTTATAGGGACTTTTACTGGGTTTAATTATATTATTCTCTAGCATTTTATTTATTTCTTTATTTATAAAATTATTGTCTGAAAAGGGGTAAGGGTACTGTTTCGTCCATATTGGCTCTTCAGTTTTAGTGCGGATCGTCGCTTCAATTGTTGTTGTAAATGGTAAAATAGGATTTGTTTCCTCATTAATTCTCATAATTTCTTCAACTTCTTTTTTATATTTGCTCTCATCTATTGTGAAATTTACTTGACTGACATCCATTTCTTTTTTCTTCTGTTCTGTTCTCCTGACATACATCATTTTATATTCGAACAGATCTATCTTAGCTTTCATTTCTCTCAAGGATTGTTCTCCTAATATCATATCAAATTCTTTTAATTCTTCGATTTCAAAAAATATTAATTCTTGTCCTAGCATTCTAATCTTCTTGGCTGAGTTTATTGTGTTTGAACCATTCAGAGTTCTACTAACAAATTGTTTAACTGGGAAGGTCTTTGCATTTGAAATATTTTTCCTAATATAATTTAATGTCGAACCTGTGTCCATTAAAACTAATAGTTTTTTGTTATCATGTAAAATAATCTGAAGACACGGCAGATTATTTACTCGTCTAAAAAAGTAGCTCTATTTTCAAATTCGCTTTCATCTATATTTACCCTTAATGACTGATCACTATTATTATCCGTTATTTGGTTGATCCTTTGTAGTTTCTGTGGTGCTATATTATATCTGGATGACGTTGGTTGGTGGTTTCGTTTAAATGGTTCTCCTCTATTGGGATTGAAAGGTGCGTATCCTGCTCTTTGTCGTTCATAGTTGTTTCTGAAGGGATTCTGTTGATACGATTGCTGTTGTTGATGCTGATTATTCGTGGGTTGCCGGAATCTTCCTATTGATGTATCCACGTGTATTGGTGTCGGGTTTGATCTTTCCATGTGGGGAATAGGTTGAACTCCTGGTTGATACTTCCGTTCGTTTTGTGGGTGTTTGGGGTAGTTATAAGCTTCTCGTCGTATCGGATTGTTCTGCCTTTTATAAAGAATCTCCGTGGCAATTGCGTATGCACTTTCTAAATCTCTTGGTTTTGCTGCATATAATGTGTGTTGAGTAAATTCATCATTTATGCCATTGCGGAAGCAATCTATGGCCATTTCTTTTGTGACCTGCTGTAGAGAGTGAGTATTCCCTGGGTAATCAATTTCGCATTTAGTCATTGCTAAATTAAAGATTTGACAGATCTTGCTGTGGAATTCGGATAGCGTCTGTCTTCCTTGTATTTGTCTTTTCATTTCCTCTATGAGGGCGTTATAGCTTCTAGTACCGGCGTAGCTGTAAGCTGGAGTATTGCTTGTAAGTGAAATACTGTGCCATGATTCTGTAGAAGAGTTGCTGGTTCTCCTTCGATCTTCGTGTGACGTATTATAAATAATGCATCGTAATATAGTTTGGTATCTCGAAAGGCTTCTATGGGACTCATTGCTGATATGATGGTTGCCCTCCATGTCCTGTATTTGGATGTGTCTCCGTTGAACACTGGTAGCCATTCGAATAGTCTCAAATTTATTTCATTTGCATTGTTTATCCTGGGACTTATCGGTTGGAATTCTTCGATTTCAGGTACTTGCGCTTGCTGCAGCTGGGCTAATTGTGCTTCTACAGCGGCATAAGCTTGTTCCAAGGTTACTACCCTTGCTTCCATAATGATTCCTCTGCCTTGATCAAACACTTGTAATCGCTTTTTTCGGAAGCGGTCCAGTTTTATTTTTGGTTCTCCTTGTCCTCTTTTTCAGGACGTGTGGAATTTGATTTTTTAGGAGTTCTTTTTATTATTCAGTTATGGAGCCCCCAGTTAAATTCATACTCTCGATGTACATAAATAAATATAATTTTATTGGTACCAAGATGTACTTAAATCAATTCTAACCTGAAGTTCAT